TAGTCAGTAGTCTGAGTTCGATAGTCACTGTTAAATATAATTTAAAAATCCCTTAAATTTCCTAATTATTACCTTTTCTTGTCTTTTTTCAAAAGAGGACTTGACTTCATCAGAGTCTTTCTGTACATTTAAGACATTTTTATCTTCAGTGTCCTCATCATTGGGCATAGCAAAGGTCACTCTTTTCGAGGTTTCTTTATGTTGTTTACTGTCTCCACTTTCTTCGAGGTCATCATCTTCATCCCTATAAGACCAAAACACTTATGAAAGGAAACATACCAGTTTTCATTAGAAAATCAAAAAGAAACAAACTTAGCAGTTAAACTTCTTTTGTAGACAATGCAATTAAATATTCAGAACTTCCAGTATTTAGGTAAAATAGAATGAAGTGTCCAATATATAGAAAACAAATTATTCATCGATCTATAATACAGACTTATCTCACCTAAGTAACAACAGGGTATTTTTATTGGCACAGAAAACAAATCAGAGCTCCTGGTAAGGAAGGTCTGCCTGCTACTGCCAGTCAGGCTGATTTGCACTAGGCCGTCTCTGACATCCCTTCAAATTTGGTGACTCCTCTGGCTATTCTGAGACTGTCTGACCTTAGAGAATCCCACTTCTTAGGACAATCACATCTGACGACTAGTAGTACACAGTGTAAAGGACTCAAAATACTCACGTTTCAGAAATGCTTTCTTCTCCTTCAGCAATCTCTTCCTCTTCATTTGAAGCCAGTTCATTCCCATCATCGTGGACACTTGCTACATCTTCATCACTTTCAACTGGATCAAAGAAATCTTTGTATTTCAGGTTTCTGGAACTTTTACCTGACTAAAACAAAAATACTTTTAAAACCTTTAATCAAGGATAGAAAAATACATTAAATCATGCATAAATGTGTATGCATACTGTGTAGGGGAAGTTGGCAACTAATAACACTACTACAAAACCCGAAGAACTATTAGAACACAGCAACTGAACGGAAGCACACATTCATTTATAACTGATAAGACAGAGCACCACATTCTTCTCTCCAAATCTTCTAACTACAAGTATTTCCAAAACATCCCTGACTACATAAAGTATACAAATATCTTCTTTCGTTCTTATTCTTAGTGCTTGGTGAAAATCCATGTTTGAGGGAAAATTCTGAATCTCCGTAACATGTGTGACCGTGGTTCTGAAGCTACAAAGGAGTGTTTCATGATAAGGAAATGACAGCTTTGGTTTAATTTCTCCAGCCCCCCTCCCCCGCCCTTTTTTTAACCTTATCTAAATATTTCACTGATCCCCTGGTGAATTTTGAAGTACTGTAACCGTCTTCTGGAGAAATAGAACCCCATCTCATGTGATGAGGCAGAAAGAACACTCTGTCCTCTCCCCGAACTTTACCTTAAGATCTTGGCCTCCAAACAGTCCTTCATCTTCATCGGAATCCACATCTTCAAAAAAATCAACATCATCTTCCTCTTGGTCATCTCTGTGTTCCTCTTCCTTTTCCATGTTCTCTAAAAAGGTCTCCATCTCAGAGAGTTTGAAGAATTTATCATCTACTATCGACTTTTCTGTTGGTTTCCTAGGCACTCTGCTTTGCACCTTGCTCTGACGTTCCAGTTTGCTGATATCAAAATCAAGATCAGAGTTCTCATCACTGAAATCTGGGCTTTTCCTCAGATCCAATTTGCTTGAGTTTGGGGCTCTCTGATCTGCTTCAGGATCATCAGCACTCATGTCTGACACTTCCTCCTCCTCTTCCTCCTCCAAATCTTGTTCCAGGTCCTCCTGGCCAGCAGCCTCCAGCTCCATCACATCCTCTTCACACTCCTGCTCTTCACTCTCTGGAAGAAGACTTATGTCTTCATCTTCAATGGTTTCACTAACTGCACTCTGGAAGTGCTGTAAAATTGGTTCATTTTGCAGTTCCAATTGTTGCCAAATCTGCTCATCATCGAAATTTTTTATCATCAATTTTTCTAAAGGACTCCCATGTTTCCTGTCATTCTCTAGTACTTTATTAAAGTCATAAAGTACTTTTGTTAAAGAAGTAAACTTTGATGCCAGTTCATGTTGAATGCTGTTAAGAGGCAGGGAGAAGGAGTTAAGTGAGATTTATAACTAGAGTTAACAAGTTCACAGCACTCAGAAATGAAAGGGAAAAAAAGGCCAACACATGTGCAAAATCAAATTTTTTAAAAGTTGAAGTACTGCTTTACAATATATTAGTTTCAGTGATTCAGTATTCTTATTGATTATACTCCATTAAGTTATTAGAAGCTAATGGCCAAGATCGTTCCATTGCTGTACAATATATCCTTGCTGCTCATCTAGTTTACACATGGTAGTTAGTATCTCTTAATCCCACACTCCTATTTCATCCTACATGTCCCACTCCCGCCCAGCCCCCAGCAACCACTTTTTGGTTCTGTATATTTGTGAGCCTGTTTCTGTTCTGTATATACATTCATCTATATTTCTTTTAAAATTCCATATGTAAATGATAACATACAGCATTTGTCTTTCTATGACTGACTGCAACAGGCATAATATTCTCTAGGTCCGTCCAGGCTAAGGCACATGGCAGGATGAAATCTCCGTTTTAAGAATAGATTCTGACCCCCAAGTGTGTACTGTCTTGCCGAAGAATTGCATTAGTATATAAAAGGTGACAACCCAGTATCTCTGAATCTGCTGGATTTCAGGCAGGGAACCCATTACAGACCCCTCTGCCTAGAGATAAAGAGTGAATCTTCTGGATGAGGAAATGGCAACCCACTCCAGCATTCTGGCCTGGAGTCCCATGGACAGAGAAGCCTGGCGGGTTACCGTCCTTAGAGTCACAAGAGTCAGACACGACTAAGCATGCATGGAGTGTATCTTAGCCTTAAATTCTCAACTCTGCTATATCACAGGCCACTCCATTCAGTCAGTCCACAGTCAACACCTGCTGTGGCAAGAGTGGTCACAGAATAGCTGTGACATCTGAGCTGATACCTATCTGTAAGATGACAGTCTGACAAAAATCTGGAGACACATATTTCAGGCAGAAGAAACAGCAAGAACAAATTTCCTAAGACAGAAATGAGGCTGGTGAATCTGAGGAGCACAAAGGCCAGCTTGGCTTGAGTGTGGTGAAGGAGGCAGAAAGGAAGGTTAGAGAGATGGGTGGGAGCCAGATCATGCAGGCCTCAGAGATAAGAGGCTGTTATTTTCGTAAGTGAAGGTTTTGGGTACTTCCCTGGTGGTCCACCGGCTAAGACTCCACACTTCCAATGTACAGGGCCTGGGTTTGATCTCTAGTCAGGGAACTGATCCCTGACCTGCCGCAACTAAGAATTCATATGTAGCAACTAAAGATCCCTAGTGCTGCAACTAAGACCCGGCGCAGCCAAATATATCAGGAAATATTGAAAGTAAATAAATGAAACAATACAAATATTTTAAAACCTTTTTTAAAAAATTAAAGATTTTAAAGCAGAGAAGCAAAATGACCTGACTTATGCTTGGAGAGATGGCCTGCCAAGGAGAAGGAATGAAATGAAGGTGATCAGGAGGCTGATGCAGGCAAAGGATGCACAACTGTGCTGGGATCAGAGCTGCGGAAATGGTGAGAAATAGTCAAATTCGGAATATGGTTTGGAGATGTAACTTACAGGATTTGCTAATGAACTGGATGTAGAATGGAGAAAAAGGAAGACACTGAGGAAGTGGCTTGGTTTGCGTCTGAAAAACTGTAACGATACAATGTGATAGGTAAGGCAGGTGGAGAGAATGGGGAAAGGATCTCAGGGAGGGCAGAAAAGCAAACAGAACAACAGTTCATTTTGGACAGACGGAATCTAAGATGCTGAGTGTACGGCTGTAGTTGGCTGCAAGCCTGGAGCTCAAGGGAAAGGTCGGGCTTGAAATACAAAATCTCTATATCGTCTTCGAACAAAAACACCAAGAGCTCGTGCTGGGAAGGGAGATTAAAGACAATCCTAATTTTCAAGAGGCTCAGTCGTGGGGTGGATAGATAAGCAAGTTAGTACTTTCAATAAAGTCTAATGATGAGTAAGTAAGCACTGGGTGCTCTGGGAACAGATGGGAGAAAGAGCACGCCACCCGGTGCGTCTGTGTGAAGGATGAGGGCATGGAGACCTCGAGACTGTAATAATCCAGGTTAGTTGAGTTCAGCAGCACAGAACTGAGAGACCCACAGAACATAGCTCTTAACTATCTAAAGAAGTGTGACAGGCCAGGGGAGCGCAAACTACCTGAAACTTAAGGAAAAGAGCTCTCCCCTTCCCCTAATCTGGAACTTGCCCGGAGCCCGCAGCCCGCGCCCACGCGAGTCCTACGCCGCCCCAGAGCCCGGGATCTGGGCACTTACGTGAGGAAGCACTCTGGCCTATCGGTGGCTTTACCGACTTCCCTCAGGCACCGCTCCAGGGTCTGCCGGCGCCAGGCTGGCGGGGCCATGGCTTACTGCTACTCGGGACACAGCGCCGCATGCAAAGGAAGTGAGCCACCGCCCGGAAACCGTGCCGCAAAGATTCGCCCCCGCGCGACTGAAGCCGGGAAACGAAGGTTCCGCGACGCACAGGTTCCGGACCCATCTCCAGCCTCAGCCATGACGGCCCCGAGAACTTCAACCGGTTTTGCGCAGGGTCGGGGCGCGGGCCTGGAAAGCGAAAGTCGCCTTTGGTCAGCTGGATGAAATTTCTCCAAACTTTTTGTTTTGTATTCCTGAGGGGCCCACAGGAGTGTCGCGTCCTCCTTTTAAGTTTCTGCTTTAGATGCACTCGGTGACTTCAACGTTGTGCTGTAAAACAGAGGGCCTGCTCCCCCGCACACACAAAACACAGCACACTCGCCAGACCCCAGCCTCTTCTGCCCCGCCCCTCGGAGATTTTGTTCAGCTCTTAGCCTCGTCTGTCCCGCCCCTCCGGGCTTTTGCCCCGCCCCAGCCTCATTTGCTCCGCCCTTTAGGCCTCTCGCACCGACCTAACAAGGTTGTCCCGCCCCCTGCCGCACAGTCGCCCCTCCCACGGAAATGCAAGTCTGGAATTAGCAGATGCTTCCCAAGATGGCACGAGTGCTGAAGGTGGCGGCCGCGAGCGCCGCAGGTGAATACTCCGAGATCCGGGCTGTCCGAAGGGTGGGGCTCGCGGGAAGGGAGGCCGGTGCGCGAAGAGGCCGCGTGTGGTCGGCATACCTGGGTCTGCTGCCGTCTGCCCCCGAGGCGCGTTCCTTGGCTGCTGTCAGCGCCTTTAGAGCTTCCCAGGGACGCCTCGGGTTAGCCTGGGGATTTCCTTCTGTGTTTGCGTCTGACGGTCAGCAATTCTCTATGTGGCCCCAGAGGTGGGGTCATCCAGCTAAGAGGCAGCCAGGCCGAGCCAGACGCAAATATAGTGAATGGCAAAGGGACAGTGAGAGACGGGGCAGGAACCAGAAGGAACTGAAAATGCAGGCTGAACTCCCGGCCCACTCTGGAAGTCAGTTGTGTAAAGAATATGGAAGGTGTGTGTCTTCTTCCCACGTGTCCTAAGATATTCATGATCTTGTATAAAGCCAGGGAAGAAAGCAGCAGACGGATGTGGAAGGTTTCTTGAGTTCTCTATACCACCATTAAAAAAGAAACAAAACCCGTCAAGTTCTCTGACATCCCAGTTCATCTACTTTTTCCTCTTTTTTTTTTTTTTCTCTTCATTCTTCATCAGGGGGTAACTATTTCTCTTAATCTGAAATTCCCTGATAGGAACGAGTTGCCAAGTGGTGATATCTCAGAGTTACTCCTGAACATTCGTGACAAATATTTAAGCTGAGCACCTTCAAAAACTGTTCAAGGGCATGAACCCTAAATAATGTTAGGTTTCTCTCCTAGAAAATGCTGTCTTGAAACTTACAGTTGAAGTCCTTTAAAGTCCTGTCTCTAACTGAACAAGTACTTTATTGAGCACTGTTTTTGGTTCCCAGGTGGCTCAGTGGTGAAGAATCTGCCTGCCAAGCAGGAGACAAAGGTTCGATCCCTGGGTCAGGAAGATCCCCTGGAGAAGGAAAGAGCAACCCACTCCAGTATTCTTGCCTGGAGAATTCCATGGACAGAGGACCCTGGCAGGCTACAGTCTGTGGGGTTGCAAAGAGTCAGACATGACTTACTTAGCATCTAAACAACAACAACATAGTCTTTCTTACAGTCACAAAATGTCTATACATCTATCATTGCAAGTCACCAAATCTAAGTAATGAGCCTTATACAAAGTGCACCGTAATAATTGTAACTGTCTCAGCCCTGGATCAGTTTAAAGAGGTGATATGTACATGAAAAAATACTCACAAAACAGTCATCTCATCTCTTAGAAAGCTATTTCTTAGAAAATAGATATTATTCATAGGATTTACCCTAAAGATATTAAAAACTGAGAATCAAAGAATAGTAAAGAAGGACTTGCCTGGTGGTCCAGTGGTTAAATCTTCATGCTCCCAATTCAGGGGGCATGAGTTTGATCCCTAGTTGGGGAACTAGCATCCCACATGCCACACAGCTCAGCTAAAAAATGGTACATAATGTTAGTAGAATGGGAAAATTAAACATCGTGGTTTAACAACATCAACTTTGTTGTCAGACAGACCAGGACTTGAGACCTAGCTTTGCTACTCATTGTGACCTGGAAGAAAATCAGACCAGTTTTTTTTTTTTTTCCCTCTAAGTGGGAAGATTTATTAAAGTACTCCCTTGAACTATGACTATTCTCTCTAATTTATGGCCATCAAAACTAATAGGCAGAGCTGGACCACCTCACAGTGTCCTCCTGTTTCAGAACTGGTGATCACAGTTTACTTAGGCAAGATTGTGTGGTAGTATTGTTGCATAACTCTAATGTTAAGATAACCTGTAGGTCTTTATTGGGAAAAAGGTCAAATCAAGGAGTTGTTACACCATGGGATCTGTCCTCCACGGGTGAAAGATCCCAGCAGTGTGGAGAAGGCGTAGAGACTGAGCTGTTTCTGCAGTCTTACTGATGATTTTCTTGGTTGTTAGCATTTTTAAAATTCACTGTGCCCTTCATATGGCTTCTTGGTCTCCACAGACCCCTGCTTGCCAATAAACCAGCAGTCACTGTGTGTCATTAACAATAAGAATGGCCAAATTTATTGTTTTCCAGTTATATATGTCTTGCACTGTAGTAGTATATTTTTGACATCAAATACTTAATTTTTACAAGAAACTAGCAAGGCAGATATTTAGCGGGTAGGACCAGTATTTTGTTTTTTTAACTAAAATAAAATAGAAGAGAAAAGATTAGAACACACCCCATCTAGTAAGGATTAGGTGTTCTTTTTATGAAATTTGCTTTAAATGGTATATTTATGTGTGTACTGGCTTGGAGCACAATTGAATTTCATGGTGATACATTGAAAGATACTCCAAAGAACTGGGGTCGCCAAGGAGAACACGAGCACCAGTTGGGACAGTGCGTGGAGAAGACACAGAGCAAGATGACGTCGGTAGTGGGTGTCTGTCCCCTACGGCCAGCAGGTCTATCTCCCTGTGGCTAGGGCAGGACACTTTGCTTGTACACGCTCCCCTTTGCCACAGTGCCGCAGTACAAGGAGCCTTGTCCCGTCCCTGCGGAGGACAGGTGTGACAGTCAGGCTTTAAGCAGGGACAAAGGAGCAGTCACTGATCCTGGGTGAGGGAGAGGCCCCACACGGTGGTAAGAGTGACTCAGGCTGTGAGCTCTGTGTCACCTGGTGAAGCGTTCCAGGCCCCGCCCCCTGCGGCTGAGGAGACTGCCTTCCCAGCAAGGAAGACCCTACAGTCCTCAAGCAAATCGAATGATGCTGCTTTAATTTCCCTGTTAATCAAAAAACTTTAGTAAAGGGAAATTAATAATAATTTTAGCTTAGCCAAAGCTCTGTGATACTAGGTACTATTTAAAGTGTTTTTCATTAAAAACTAACAACCCTTTGTGTAAAATATGTGTTCTTGGGATTTCCCTGGTGGTCCAGTGGCTAAGACTCCAAGCTCCCAATGCGAAGGGCCCAGGTTTGAACCCTGGTCTGGGAACTAGATCCCACATGCTGCAACTACAAAACGTCCCACATGCCACAACTAACACCTGGCACAGCCTAATAAATAAAAATAAAATACATGTTCTTCAACTTGCTATTTCATACTTGTTTATTAAGTGATGTAGTTTTGCAAGATTATATTTAGACCTCATACTTGTTTGTGATTTTCATTCTGGTGGGGAGTCCAGCTCTTAAAGTCCAGTGTTTTGGAGAGAACAGATTGCAGGCTGCTTCTGTTTCCAGATGCAAAGTTTCTTCAAATTTAGAGGCATTTTTCCTCCAAGCCTTCAAAAATAATAAAAAAAAAAATAAAACCAACCAAAAAAAAGTCCCAAAAGGTTAAAGAACCCCCTGAACCTGGCCCGGTTTTTTCCCCTAATGAGATATTTTCTTTAGTTGATAACCATCCACATAAAGTACACATTAAAAGGTGCTTATAGTTATGACTTTTACTAACTTACTACAGAATGTCAGACAAAAAAATTGGTTGTAGGTAGAGAAGAAAATTCCTTGCTCTCATCATTAAATGCATGTCATTTCACTGTCACGTTCAAACTTATCCTTTATGAAATACAGAGAGTAACAAATGATTCTTTGTGATATGAAGCTTTCCTTTAAGTGTTATTGGTAAATATAAATTCTTATGAAAAATGTCACCCTTTGTCCTGAATCTAAAAAGCACAGAAGGGAATTTCCTGGTGGTCCAGTGGTTAGGACTCTGTGCTTTCACTGCCAAGAGTGTGGGTTCAGTCCCCAGTCAGGGAACTAAGATCCCAAAAGCCGCATGGTACAGCCAAAAACAAAGCAACAGTGAATAAAAAGTTTAGAATTAGCCTTTTAATTCCAGACAGTTATTGCAGAGCAGGATGAATAATTCTGATGTACGTTTTTCATTTATCTCCTCTGATTTAATTTCCCTAATTAAAAAGAATAAGTAAATAATTTTTACATGTATTTTTAAAAATTAATTTTAGATATCAGTTCTCAAAAGAGGGACGTCAATGGCAGTTCAATTTTTCAGGCCTTTTCCCCAGACTTTGGACTCCAGTTTCAACAGTAAGAACTTGCGCGTCGCTGTCCTCACATCCAGGGGCTGGCCCTGTATGGAACCTGGGTCGTCTCAACCATGTTGCAATCGCAGTGCCAGACTTGGAAAAGGCCAGAGCATTTTATAAAAATGTTCTGGGGGCCGAGGTGGGTGAGCCAGTCCCTCTTCCAGAGCATGGAGTGTCCGTCGTTTTTGTCAACCTGGGAAACACCAAGATGGAGCTGCTGCACCCACTGGGAAGTGACAGTCCAATTGCAGGATTCCTAAAGAAAAACAAGGCTGGAGGGATGCACCATGTCTGCATTGAGGTATTTAGTTACTTTAATCCTTGGTGTTGTAAATTTCTCTTTTAAAATGTCTTTTATGTTTTTTAAATTTCTCCTTTTGATTTGGTTTGATCTTGCAGACCATGAGACTCTCAAGAGTCTTTTCTAGCATAAAAATTCGAAAGCATCAGTTCTTCAGCACTCAGCCTTCTTTATGGTCCAACTCTCATTTCTGTACATGACTACCAGAAAAATCATAGTAATATTGGTCCTCTTCAAAGATGGATCTATAGATATAGTCTCTTTCCCTCTAGAAAACTGCAAATCATAATGAAAATATGTCTCACTGAAGTTTGGATTTAACTGTCACTATCCACTGAAGTTGGCCAAAACAGATTTGCATTTTTGCTATGGTATTTGCTGATCATGTGCACCTTCTGTGCAGTAGGAATACACGGTTTTCCTTGTCAGAGGGCAATTAGAAGAAGCAAGTGACAAGACTTTATAAAGTAAGAATTTCCATATACATGCTAAGTATTATAATTATTTTCTATCTTTAAAATTTTAATAACTCAACCCTTATTACAAAGGCAATACATTTTCAGTTACCGACTGTGATTTCTCACATCTTCTCAATTGCATCTGCTAACAGTTTCTGGAGAAAAAAAATGTTAGACAAGAACAGTCTCTTTAGAGAGGCTTTATCCATAAATGTTCGTGTTCTGAAAACTGCTTTTGGAATATCAGCAGTATTAATTATGCTTCGATTTACATTATTTTGGTAGGATAGGTCTCTTGATTTAAAAAATGACATAATTAATAGTTAGGCTTCATTCTCAGTCCAGGAAAGAGGGAGGTTGGATTCCAGCATGAACACAAGTATTTATTCAGTTCACATTGCAAACGTATTAGAGAACCTACTGCGTATCCTCCCCTGAGCACTTGTGTTCAGAAAGAATGTACTCTGTTTGAAGAGATTATAGTTTATGTTTAGTAACATTTGGCATCCTCATCCGTTGTTCAACCAGTTTTAAAAGGCACTATGTAATCCTTGGCTCTTTGAAAATAAGGCTGTATAAATGTGAACATTTGTTAAGTCTATATTTGGATACATGGATGTTATTCTCTCTGGGGTTTTGTTTTGTTTTGTTTTTTAATTGTTTGTGAATTAAACTCCAGGGTGATGTAGGACTGCCTCAGAAAGCAGGGGTTCTTACTATCCCTTTCTATCTACTTACTGGGTTCCCAGTCTAGGAGGATGACTTTCTAAGACAGGTACGTGTTAAGTCGCTCAATTGTGTCTGACTCTTTGTGACCCCATGGACTGTAGCCCTCCAGGGCTGTCTGTCCATGACATTCTCCAGGCAAGAATGCTGGAGTAGGTTGCTATGTCCTCCTCCAGGGGATCTTCCTGATGCAAGGATCAAATTGTGTCTCTTATGTCTCCTGCGTTGGCAGGTGGGTTCTTTATACTAACACCACCTGAGAAGCCCTCAGAAATGAGAAAAATCACTCTTCCATCAAGTATTTAGAAACACATTTGCTCCTTTCTAGACTACCAATAAATATGAAGAAAATAGAAATGGCTTAGAAGAGAGTTGCAAAATTATACATGTCTGGATTTTTCAAGAATGGTGAAAGATATTCTGGTGACAGTTTAATAGTGATTTTCATGTATATGAAGTTCTGATCTCAAAAGTAATAACCAGTGATTTCCTTGGTAGTCCAATGGTTAAGAATCCAAACTTCCAGTGCAAGGGGCGCAAGTTTGATCCCTGGTCATGGGAGTAAGATCCCACATGTCATACTGCATGGCCAAAATAAAAGTAATAACCAGACAGTTTGGCAGATGGGAGGTTTGGAGATCAGGGAGGCACTCATATCTGTTGAGTACCTTCTGTAAACTGTGCTCAAAGCTTCTCATCTGTTATCTCATTTTGAACTCTCAGCTATATGTATGGTGGGCCTCATCTCTCTTGTAAATGAAGAAGCCAAGACTCTTAGGAAAAATAACTTGTGAAGAATCATCAATAGTGCTGCAACAAGAACATGCTATGAAGTAAAGCAGACATCATTTAGGTCCTAAGGAGAAATGTTTACTAATAGAGAAAATGCTTAAGCACTGTGGTTGCTCACCTAGCAACCTCTTTATTAGCAAACTTAGCAAATTTAGCAAACTCTTATTTTTGTGATGGTTAAAGAATGGTTCTGCCCAAAGGCAGAGGAGTTAGACACGTTTGCAAAGTTTCTACTACGTCTTACGATACTGTAGTTTGGTATTTTAATGATCTCAAATGTGTTCTTGTTTATTTCCTTTTCTCAAGGTGGATAATATAAATGTGGCTGTAATGGATTTGAAAGAAAAAAAGATTCGTATTTTAAGTGAAGAGCCCAAAATAGGAGCACATGGAAAACCAGTGATCTTTCTCCATCCTAGTGACTGTGGTGGAGTCCTTGTGGAATTGGAGCAAGCCTGATGAATAATTCACAAGAAACTGATCACCCTGAGAAAGCCTTATCACAGGGTGCTGCAACATCGAGTCCTTCACTGCTTCTGTCACAGAACTAAATTACGGAAAGAGGTTTTTTAAATTATATGTGTGCATATACATGTATACACACACAAAATATTTACTGATTATGTTGGATTCTTTTTTCTTGATTCGGAGAAAACTTTGACTACTGAATACTTATGGAATATTATTAAAGTCATATTCATAGAAATAAATTATTCCTGTTCTGAAACGGGGTTGAGTACAGTCGAGTCTGCTGTGTGGAAAGGGGGGGCAGGACGGAGGCATAGAGGACATCTCACAGCCACATGGCCACGTATCTGGGACAAGGGCTTCCTAAGAATGTTACAGAGAATGCTTTTAGAGCAAACTGTTTAAGGATAAAGACTGTTGACCTCAGAATTTTTGTTCTTCTGTAGCAGTACATGCTCACAAGCTCTTTATTTTGGGGGCTAGTGCTGGATTATAAACAGGAAGTTTTGTGGAAAACTTGGTGCCTAATCTAGTGGGTACATAGATAGGTGATTTTTTTTTAGTCAGTAGACATAGAAAATTGGAAATAGCAAAGGAATATTTCATCCAAAGATGGGCACAGTAAAGGACAGAAGTGATGATGACCTAATAGAAGCAGAAGAGATCAAGAAGAGATAGAAAGAACACACTGAAGAACTGTACAAAAAAGATCTTAATGACCCCCGATAACCACAATGATGTAGTCTCTCACCCAGAGCCAGTCATCCTAGAGTGTGAAGTCAGAGCCAGTCACCCTGGATTGTGAAGTCGAGTGGGCCTTAGGAAGCACTTTATTTTTAGCCAACAAGGCTTAGTGGAGGGGATGAAATTCCAGCAGAGTTATTTAAAATCCTAAAAGATGCTATTAAAGTACTGCACTCAGAATGTCAGCAAGTTTGGAAAACCCAGCAGTGGCCACAGGACTGGAAAAGGTCAATCCTCATCCCAGTCCCCAAGAAGGTCAGTACTAAAGAATGTTCAAAAACCACCAGACAGTTGTACTCATCTCCCATGCTAGTAAGGTTATGCTCAAAACCCTGCAAACTAGGCTTGAGCATTATGTGAAGAACTTCCAGATATTCAACCTGGATTTAGAAAAGGCAGAGGAACCAGAGATCAAATTGCCAACATTCACTGGATCATAGAGAAAGCAAGGGAATTCCAGAAAAATGTCTACTTATGTTTCATTGACTATGCTACAGCCTTTGACTGTGGATCACAATAAACTGTGGAAAACTCTTTATTTAAAGAGATGGGAGTACCAGACCATCTTACCTGTCTCCACATACAGAGAAACCTGCATACAGGTTGAGAGCCAACAGTTAGTACCTTGTACGAAACAACTGACTGGTTCAGGACTAAGAAAGGAGTATGACAAGGCTGTTTTTGTTGTCACCCTGTTTGTTTAACTTATATGCAGAGCACATCATGAGAAATGCCAGGCTGGATGAGTTATAAGCTGAAATCAAGATTGCCGGGAGAAATTTCAACAACTTCAGATATGTAGATGATACCACTCTAATGGCAGGAAGCGAAAAGGAACTAAAGACCCTCCTGATGAGGGCAAAGGATGACAGTGAAAAAGTCAGCTTAAAACTCAANGACAAAGGTCTATATAGTTAAGGCTATGGTCTTTCCAGTAGTCATGTACAGATGTGAGAACTAGACAATAAAGAAGGCAGAGCACTGAAGAACTGATGTTTTTGAATTGTGGTTCTGGAGAAGACTTTTGAGAGTTCCTTGGACAGCAAGGAGATCAAACCTGAACATTCATTGGAAGGACTGTTGCCGAAGCCGAAGCTCCATTACTTTGGCCACTTGATGCAAAGAGCTGACTCATAGGAAAAGACCCTGAGGCTGGGAAATATCAAAGGCGAAAGGAGAAGGGGGCGACTGTTGAAGAGATGGTTAGATAGCATCACCGACTCAGTGGACGTGAGTCCAAGCAAAGTCAGTGTTCCTGAAAATTACATTATTTAATTTTCTTCTGGCAGAGTCATCTTCCATTGTATACATGGGTCTCTTTTTCTTTATCCATTTATCTCCCCATTGACAATATGTTTATTTCCATTTTTTTTTTGGCTATTGTAACGTGTAGTCCAGTGTAAACTTGGTTGCATGTGCGTTTCAAAATATTGTCTTCTTCTCAAATATTCCTTGGAGTGCTTCTGCAGGATCTTATAGTAGCTTTATTTTTTTTTAAGGCAGTCCCATTTTCACCTCTATACTGTTTTTATCTTTTACCTGCTACAAGCACCATAAATGGGTTCCCTAGTCTCTGCATTTTCACTGTTTCTTCTCTGCAGAATGTTCATGATGGCCGTTCACAGTGGTGCAGAGTGATCCCTCATTATGCTCTTGACTCACACACATCTCTCATAGATCACGATGTTCAGCAATTTGGTATTTTTTAAAACAGTGTGACAAGAATTTACAGTTGAAAGTATTTTTCTTTAAGTCTGCCAACTTTTAACTTGTTTTGATAGGATTCCCTTGAAAAATTTTTAAGGTCGTGTATCATTTAGATCCCAGCACTGCTTGTGAATATGAAGTAACTTAGAGCAGTATTTTTAGGTTTCTGTTTTGAAAAATGGACACAAGGCAGAGGAACACCTTCATGCCCAAGTTTTGTTACTATGGGATCCAAGTTGTAGTCTTAGAGCCCAGTTGTAAACTAGAGTGGAATATGTGAGAAGAAGCCACCCAAAGCTTGTGTCTCTTTAATACTTCTGTTCCCCCTAATAGTATGTATTTTTAATTGGAGTAAAAATGACTTACAAGGTTATGTTATAGGTGTACAGAATCTTGTTCAGTTATACTTATTTCTGTGTCTATTCATCTTTTGGGCTTTTTATCATGTAGGTTATTACAGTGTGTTTAGTCCAACACACTTTCTCAAGTAGGCCCATGTTGATCACTTATTTTTTATGTATTTGTGGGTATGAGTTATTTCCTCCCTCCTAATTTATGCTTTTTTTCCCACCATCCCCCATGGGTGACCATAAGTTTATTGCCTAAGACTGTTTATTTCACGTGTCAATAAGCTCATAGTACTGAAGACGCCTTAGCATGCATGCATGCAATGAGTACCTATTTCCCACCTGTACATGATATAAGAATTCTCTCTCTCCATCTAACTGACTTTACCTAGTGATATTACCTCTAGATTTATCTGTGTCCCTGCAGTTGACATGATCTCATTTTTTTAAGTCGGAACCATATTTCTTTGCATGCATGTGTTCCTTTTTCTTTATCCATTCATCTGTTCATGTACATTTGCTTACTTCCATTATCTGGGCTATTTTGTGAACTGCTGCAGTGTGTGCTTGTGTGCACAAGTTTTCCAAAATCTGATTTTCTCCACATACAGTCTCAGCAGTTAGACTGCCAGATTATAGGGTCCATCTGTCTCCGCCATTAAAAATGCACATCTACGTATGTCCTCCTAGCAACAATTACCAATAAACATTCACCAGCACTATCTAAGGGTCATTTTTCTTCACCCAACTCTTTGTCTCTAGAATTTTTGAGAGTGATCTTTTGGACTTCTCTATGGCCATACGTTGTTGTCATTTTGATTGTCCTGTGTCTAATTATTCACCTGAGAACCTTTTCCTGTGCTTTCTTAAGAAAAACTTGTGGACTATATTTACCTCTTAGTATTTTCATCTGATAGTTTGACCTTTTTTTGCATCTTTTATTCTTTAGCTCTGGAGACTTCTTGATATCAAGTATCATTTAGAGCCCAGCAATTTTTGTGAATATTAAGTATTTAGAAGCAAAACTTTAAGGTTGCTGCTGTGGGGAATTGCCAGAAGACTGCAGGACATCCTTATGCCCAAAGGTGGTGACCCTGCCAGTGAAAATTTTAGAGTTTTAATTGGGGTCTGTACAATATTCTGGGCTTCTCTGGTGGTTCAGACGGTAAAGAATCTGCCTGGAATGCAGGAGACCTGGGCTTAATCTCTGAGTCTGGAAGATCCCCTGGAGAAGGGAATGGCTACCCACTCCAAGAGTCCTGCTTGGAGAATCCCATGGACAGATGAGCCTGGAGGGCTACAGTCCATGGGGGTCACAAAGAGTCGGACACAACTAAGCAACTAACACTTCAGACAATATTCTGGCACATACTTGAACCAATACCCAAAGGTTTATTTTAACGATGTGGTTTGCCTACCAGTAGCGTAGGAGCATTCCATTTTCTCCAGTCCCTGTTACGCTGGTATAACATCTCAAAACTGAAAAACTCTTAATTGTTGATAGGAATATCAATTTCATTTTAGCTGAGCTTGAACAGAGAAGCAAAAATATCAGGGGTGAGATGTATGAAAAGAGTAACATGGAAACTTACTATACCATATGTAAAACAGATGGCCAATGGGAATTTGCTGTATGATTCAGGGAACTGGAACCGGGTCTTTCTAACAACCTAGAGGGGAAGGATGGGGAGGAAGGGAGGAGGGAGGTTCAAGAGGGAGGGGACACGTGAATACCTGTGGCTGATTCATGTTGATAGTTGACAGAAAACAACGAAATTCTGTAAAGCAATTATCCTTCAATTAAAAAATAAATTTTAACAAAATCAGGAGGCCTATTTGTTCAGATTTCTTCAGGGAGAAAAATGAAACTATTAGAAGGCAAAGTACATGCAGCTTATGGGCTCTTTGAATCAGTATTTTTTGCAGAAAAATTCTTATATATTTTTTCAAATGTGACCTTTCATTCATATAACAACAAATAACAGAATTAGAAGAAACTTAATTTGAAATGATGGCTTGTTTCTACCCAGAAAATCTGAATACAAAGGAACCAATGAGAACTGCAATGATTAGAGTGCCAAGCTTTTAAGAATATTTTAGGTTTGCAAATAATAACTAGTATGCTTGCAAATTTCAACAATATATTTTTATTCTGATAAAGAATATATTTTTCCAGAGGCTTCTAGTGTAGTCGCCTCCTGCGGGAAGCCTGGGATGCTGGAATCAGGTCACTTCCCGTCTGTCTGTCCAGGACACTGGGCTGCACTCTAAGAAATTCCTGGATCTCCCCTGGATCCTGACCATCATGTGGCCAGAGAAATTGGTAACATTGTTTTGCCGGTTGAGATGTTTAATGACAAGATTCTTTCAGTTTTCTGATGTGGGTGAAGTATGGAGCCCAGTGATGAGTTCTTCTTCAAGAAATGTACATCCTTGTTCCCACACAAGGGTGAGCCCCCTGTCCA